ATAGATCACCAGACGTTTGTTCAGGAGTCCAAAAGGTTTCACTTGTAAATTCTAAATATTTGTTTGTGAATCCCAAATTTTTGTTTGCGATTTCAAATTTGTTTTGTTTGTGAATCCAAAAGTTTCATTCGAGAATCCATTTTTTGTTTCTGTGTTTGATTGTGAAAGTTTTGTTTGTGCATGTTTGGGAATCCAAAAGCTTTGTTTGTGATTTCTATGTATGTATGTATGTTGAATCCAAAAGTGAGAATTCAAACGATTTACTTGCGATTCCCAAATTTTTGTTTTTGAACCCCCAAATTTTATTTTTTTAATCCATTCAAAAGTGTCGTTTGCGGAGCCGAAGGTTTGAACTGTGAGATGAATCCAACTTGATGCGTCTCGTTTCCGTCTCTTCCAGAACAAGTACAAGGAGGACGGCAGGAGGAATCTCTCGCAGAGTTTTTACTCTCAGCTGCCAGAAACCGCCGAGACTCAGTTCGTTAAAACGGTTTCTGAGCTGCAGAGCGAGGTGAGTAGTTACAGGTAGCTCACCTTTACCTGTGTTACCGGGAAGTCCTGCCGCGGTAACCAGCAGCGCCAACGCTGACTGCAGTTCAGTCACATGAAGGACAAAAATGACTCAAAATGACTTAAAAACTGATCAAAACTGTTTTAAAAACGGCCTAAAATGACTTACAATCTGTCCAAAATCTGTCATAAATGACTCATAATGTCCCTAAAATTATGTAAAATGTCCGAAATGAATTCAAAACGACCCAACGTGACTCACTGTGTGCCCCAAAGATGTCTAAGCAGCTTAAAAATCACTTAAAATCGTTCCACAAGTGTTGTTTGCCAATTCTAAGTTTTTTGTTAGTTTTGAAATCTATAACTTTTTCTTTGTTTGTTTGTTTGTTTGTTTTTTTTAAATCTATAACTTTTTTTATTTTTTTTTTACAAATGCCAAAATTTGTTTATGAATCTGAAAGTTTCGGTTTCCAATTCAAAAATTTTGTTTGTTAATCCCAAGGCTTAATTTGCAAATCCCAAACTTTTGGTGGTGAATCCTGAGGTGTTGTTTGTCAGTTCAAACGCTTTGCCTGCGAATCCTGAAGGTTTGTTTTGCAAATCCCAATTTTTTGTTTTGGAATCTAAAAATTTTGCTTGTGATTCCAAAATGTTTATGTTTTAGAAAGTTTTATTTGTGAATTCAAAAGTTTTGTTTGTGTGAATCAATTTCTATTTTTTCTATTTTTTGGGGGGTGAATCCCAGGATTTAATTTGCAAATCCCAAATTTTGGTTTTGAAATTTGAATCCCAAATTTTTGTTGCTAAATACAATTATAATTTTTTTTTTCAGGAATAGATCTCCTTCAAAGAGAGCTGCTGAAAAGCTGGTGCTGTTCTGGGAACATCTGTGAAATCTAATACAAAACCAGCTCTGCCATAAACTACTTTAACAAAGATTCTTCATTTTCAGTTTTCATTTACGTCGTCTGTAGAAACTAGACAACATACTATAAAAGTACTTGTACTAAAGCTTCAGGTTTTAGTTTTCAGCTTTCACATGAATGACGTGGACTGACAGACAGAGGCTGTGTGAGACCGGTTTAAACAGCAGGTTTGTGTTTTTGTGTTCAGATCAAGTACAAAGAAGCAGGAAAGAGATCAGCGATGAACTCTCTGTACTCGACTCTGCCGGAGACTCTGGAGACGCAACACGCTAAAGACGCCTCCCAGCTGCAGAGTCAGGTAACTGCTCACCGATGAGCCAAAGCGTTTAGTGTCACTGTGTTCAGACCAGCGGGAAAAATCAGCTTGTTACAGGTTTTAAACTCTGGAGCTTTGCTGACCATTTACATTTTGAACAAGTTTACAGAAGTGAAAAAGACACGAGCAGTTAGCAAACATTTTGTTGTTCAATTCCAAAGTTCTGCTTGTGAAGCCAAAACTTTTGGTCGTGAATCTGAAAGTTCTGATCGCAAATCCCCAAAATTTTGGTTGCAAATCCAAAAGTTTTGTTTCTATATCCAAATATAATGTTTGCAATTCAGAAATTTTGCTTGCGAATCCCAGAAGCTTTGACTGTGAATCAAAATTTTTGTTTATGAATCAAAATGTTTTGTCTATAAATCCAGCATTGTTTTTGATTCTAAAAATTTTGTTTGTGAATAAAAAGAAATTGTTTACAATTTCCAAAATTAGTTTGCCGGTCCAAGAGTTTCGCTTTTTTTAAAATCTGAGAATTAATTTCTTTTCTATGAATATCCTACAACTTAATTTGTTAATCCAATTTTTTTTGTTTTGGAAATGAAAAAGTTTTGTTTTCAATCCCAAAATTTTGTTAATGAATCCAAAACTTGTTGTTGCAAATCAAAAAGCTCTGTTTGTGCTTCTAAAATGTTTATTGGTGAATCCAAAAGTTTTGTTTGTCAGTTCCAAAGTTCTGCTTGTAAATCCAAAGTTGTGTTTGTGAATCCAAATTTTTTTTGGTTGTGAATCTAAACGTTCTGGTCACAAATCCAAAAATTTTGTTCATAAATCCAAAAATAATGTTTTCAATTTAAACAATTTGCTCGTCAACACAGAAGCTTTGATTGTGAATCCACATTATTGCTAATGAATCAAAAGATTTCATTTATGAATCAAACATTGTTGTTTTTGAGTCCAAAAATTTTGTTTGTGAATAAAAAAAATGTTGTTTACAAATCCAAAAATTAGTTTGTGTGTCCAAGAGTTTTGCATTTTTAAATTTTAAATTTCTTTTTGTGAATATCCCACACTTTAATTTGCTCATCAAAAAATTTTCAGAAATGAAAAAGTTTTGTTTTTCAATCCAAAAGTTTTTGTTGCAAATCCAAAAGTTCTGCTTGTGATTCAAAAATTTTTGTTTGTGGAGTCGAACATTTTGTTTTTGAATTCCATTTCTTTGTGTGTGTGAATATAAAAATTTTACTTGTGAACTTTTGAATTCTAAGTTGAATTTTTTGGGTTGAATTCCAAAATTTAGTTGGAAAATCCAAACTGTTTGTTTTTGAATAGAAAAGATGTTTCTGCAAAATGAAAAGTGAATCCAACATTTTTGTTTATGAATCCATAAATATTCTTTGTCAATCCGACAGTTTTCTTTTTAAATCCAGAACTTTTGTGCGTGAGTTCTCTTCATCCGCTCCTCCGATCTGACGACTGTAAAAACTGTAATTTAGTAGATTCCTAAAACAAACAGATTCATCTCATTTTTCCTGCTTTGATCTTTTCTGGTCCAGCTCAAGTACAAGAGTTCGAAGAGCGACGCCTCCAGTCTTTACCACCTGATGCCAGAAACCAACGACACTCAGTTTGTCCGGCAGCAGACGGAGATGCTCAGCGAGGTTCGGTTTTCGTGCATCAGTATCTGACAGGAGAATATATTGATCACCGTGTGGCTGCATTGTGTAGGAAAGATGTGTGTGTGCTGTGATGATGCTGAATGAGTCGGTGAACTTATCCCTGCGGCTCTGCTCTTTCTTCATCACAAGGTCAAGTACAAAGAAGACGGCAAGAAAGAGCAGAACGTGAACCTGTACTCCGTTCTGGCCGACACCATCGACACGCAGCACGCCAAGGAGCTGACGCAGATGCAGAGCGAGGTGGGCGCACTGAACGCTCGACGCACAGTCACAATTACACCAGGACCTGATTATCTATGCACAAGAATGAGGCGTAACCAAACATGACACAACCATAACATTTGTAAGCCTGTCGGGAGATGTGTGGCTTTTGTCTCGTCCTCCCACGCCGCCTTCTCGGTAGATTTGCTCTTTGACTGAATAGAAGCTCAACTAAACACTTTTTTTCACAATTTGTAGAACGCTGAGAAACCACGACGAATTAGGACATTGTTATGTCTCTGACTATGAATGTGCAGATTCTACATTCAAACACCTACAAACTGTGAAAACGTTGTGGCTCATTTCGGTATTTTTGGTACATAAATATGTAGAGATGACCAGCCGCCAGCATCTTATTTCTTTTTTTTGATGATCATAACTTTATTTACAACAAGGTTGCTTTGGTCACTTTTCCCACGAATCAAACAGAAAGTTTGCAACTAAAATAATCAGCTCTGTGCTTAAAAACGCTTTAAGTGCAAGTAAAATAAACGCGTGATTGAAATGTGAATCCAGAAGTTGTGTTTGCAAATCAAAAATTTTGTGCATGAATTCAAAAGTTTTGTTTGCAAATCTAAACTCTTTATTTGACAACCCAAGAGTTTTGTTAATCCAGAGTTTTTGGTCGCAAATCCAAAAGTTTTGTTTTTAAATCCAAATGTAATGTTTGCAGTTCAAACGTTTTGCTTGTGAATCCAGAACCTTTGACTATGACTCAGAATTTTTGTTTATGAATCAACAAGTTTTGTTTACGAATCCGTCATTGTTGTTTTTGAATTTAAATATTTTGTTTGTGATTTAGAAAAGATTTTTTACGAATCCAGATTTTTTCTGAGAATATCCCACAGTTCATTTTGCTAATCCAGTTGGTGAATCAAAAAGTTTGTGCATAAATGCAAAAGTTTTGTTTGCAAATGTAAACTTTTTTTTGAGAATCCAAGAAATTTGTCAACAATCGCAAAACTTTTGTTTGTAAACGCAAAAGTAATTTTTTTGTGAATGTAGAAGTTTTGAGAATCCACAATTTTTGTTTAAGAATCCCAAACTTTAGTTTCTGCATCCAAAAGTATTGTTTTTAAATCTGAAAGTTTTGTTTGACAATTTAAGCCTGTTTGCAAACTCACGTTACTGAATTTAAAAATTTTGTTTGTGAATGGAAAAGTTTTGAGAATCCGCAGGTTTTGTTTGAGAATCCAAGAGCTTCGTTTGAGAACTCAAACTCTTTGTTACAAATCCAAAATTTTGCATCAATATTCAAAAGTATTGTTGGACCAGAAAGTGATTCTGAAGAAGAGTCATGATACGGGAAGCTGATTGGGTTGGTTCTTTGTGTGTGTGACATATGAAACCCTGGAAGTCCGAAACTTTTTAAGACTTTCATCGGCAGTTTCACAGCAGAGTTGCATTTATCATGTGTCTAGCATAAAATTTTTAAAAAAGCACACCATGTGAACGATGTGAAATCTTGGCTTCTGAGACTCACCCTGAGACTGAAGTATTCGTTGTGTCTTACAGACTAAATACAAAGAGGCCAGTAAGAAGCAGAAATCCTCGTCTTTATACCATCGACTGCCCGAAACTCTGGAGACGCAACACGCTAAAGAGGCTTCACAGCTGCAGAGTCAGGTACACGTCTGCACAAACGCACTCGTTATGCAAATGAAAACCCTGAAACTAAGAAAAAGACAGGTGTGTACTGATAATATAGAAACCAGAAAAACACAGAATAACTGTTGGAATACTTTCTAAACAGCCACTGATCCATTCAGAGAGGGCTGTAGCTAGTAGTTTATTATTTAGGCTTCATGTTTAGGACATTTTAAGCCAAAAGCCTTTTGAGATATACAACTAAATACCTCCAAAGTTCAAAACAGCTTTTATTTTGAAGGGCATGACGCTGTTTCTACACTACAGCGCTGAATATTGACTTCGACAACCGGTTTCAGAAACAGTTCTCAGCAGAATAAAGAACAGAACATGAAGACCAAACCCAGCAGCTTGTTGTCAGCAGGTGTTTTCTCCTTTTGGTGAAAGTCCAGATTTTGTCTTGCAGGTCTTGTACAAAGAGGCTGTGAAGAGGGATTTGTCGTGTCCGGTTTACCACCAGCTACCAGACACGCTGGAAACCCAGTTCGCCCGAGAGATCGGCGACATGCAGAGTCAAGTAAGAGTCAAGTAGTTTTCAAGTTTGTTCTCAGAAATACAACACAGGTTTAATAAGAATGTGTTTTTACATTTTAAAAGAACGCCTCAGTTCCCACCTTATATCCATTTAGAAGTTCTTCCAGACGGCCCAGACTGACTGACTGATGCTCACATGTCGGTTTATTTTACCAAAGCTTAGCTATCAGTGACGTACAGGAGGAGCTAAATGCTAACACATATTTACTTTTAGGATGTTAAAAGTAAGATCTGTTAGCTAAATGTTAGCATATCTTGGTTTTACAGCTTTACTATTAGCCCAACATTAGCAGTCAGCACAAAGTAGGTAAGAAGGTGATTAGCTTTGCAGATTTTTTGTCATGAAACAGACAAACTATTGGACACATTTTCATCAACCAGCGGTGGAAGAAGTTTTCACATCCTTTACCTAAAGTGGAAGCTCTGATCTCTATCGTGTGTTCTGCATCAATTGGTTGGTCCACGTTCAATTTCATGAAAGTTTAAACAGTAATAATTCTGATTTTTACCTAATTTTGTCTCTGGAGAAGATGATTTCCAAAAAATTAGAAACCAGCGTAATCACAGAGACTCCTCTGATCAGCATCAGGATGTTTCTACAGGAAACACATCTGCTAATCTGTAACTCTAACCCTAAACGCTCTGATTGCAGAACAAGTACAAGGAGGACGGGATGAAGAGCCTCTCTCAGAGTTTCTACTCTCAGCTGCCAGAAACCGCTGAAACCAAGTTTGCTAAAACTGTGTCTGAGCTGCAGAGTGAGGTGAGAAGATCAAATACGTTTGTGTCAGACAGACAGAAGCAAAGTGAGAATCTGTTGGTAACGTAAATAGACAGACGCAAACGTGACTTCAAACGTCTTTCAGACAAACTACAGGAAGTCGAGGAGGCAGGAGGCCGGCAGCTGTTTGTACTCTGTGATGCCGGAAACTCTGGAAACTCAACACGCGAAGGAGGCGTCACAGATCCAGAGCCAGGTACTGAGCATCAGCACACCAGTAAAGTCCACCTTCCCCTCATCTAAACCCTGACCTGGCTTTAAAGGAGGCGCAGGACAACACACGTCCTCCATGAGCGTCATTTATTCTGACCTATAATAATGTGAAAACAGCACAACAACGACAAGCATGAATCTGGTCTGTTGTCCCTGCAGGTGAAGTACAAGGAGGACGTCCAGAAGGAGCTTTCGTCCACTTTGTTCTCCAGCCTTCCTCAGACTCTCCAGACCGAACTGGCCAAGGAGGTGACGGAGCTCCAGAGTCAGGTGACGCTTTGCTTCAGCTGCTGTGGAGCTCTTTAGACGCTGCAGTGGGTCGATGTGAGCAAGTTCAGGAGCTGCAAGTCGTACAAATCTGAAACTGTTCCTGTTTTAAATGTGGCCACCGTCCCTGTAGAAGTGCTCCCCTTGTGACGCTCTGCTCACAGTGCTCCTGCAGCTCTGGTACTGCATCTTGTATCTTTTTTTTTAACTTTTTGCCATTTCTGGTGTAATTTTAACATCTTTTTGTGTCCTACTTGTGTCTTTTTGTGTAATTTCTTATAGGTTTTTTGCCATTTTTTGCATCTTTTTGGGTCATTTTTGCCCCTTTTTTGTCATTTTGTGTCATTCTTTGTATCTGTTTGTATAATTTTTGTGTTATTTTTGCAGCTTTTTGTGTCATTTTTACACTTGCTCCTGCAGCACTTGTAATGCATTTTTGTGTAATTTTCACATTTTTTGGTGATTTTTCTGTAATTTAGCATCGTTTTGTGTCATTCACAGCTGTTCACGTGTGCAGTTTTGAGTCTCCTTCACTGTGAACTCAGGCCAGCCTTAGCACCCGGTTGTGCGTCTGTCGGCCGCTCTGCGTTGTGATCATGGTGTTGTTGTGTTGCAGGTGAAGTATAAGGAGGCCTGTAAGAAGAACGAGGCGTCTCTCTACCACCTCCTGCCTGAAACAGCAGAGATGCATTTTGCCAAACAGATGTCGGAGCTCCAGAGCGAGGTGCAGCGACGCTTCGTCGTTCTCTGATTCACACCGAAAACTCTGCTTCCAGTTTCATCTGTTTACGTTTTTGTTTTGTTTTTATTTCCTTTCTAGTTAAAGTACAAGAGGGACAAAGAGGACCTGCCCAACACTTTGTACTCGCTGCTGCCTGAAACTCTGGAGACTCAGTTTGTTAAAGAAATGGCCGAGACGCACAGCGAGG